AAAAAGAATTCCTGTGTTATTTAAACGTAAAATAGAAATTCACGATGAGCGACCTCTAAATATTAATATTAAGAGCTACAATTTTCACAGGCTTCTGTTTTCACTACTAGGAAGATATTTTAATGCGGGCTTTGAAGAAAAAAAAATATTCGATTTTTTTGAACCAGTCTAATATATATATATACCTACGGATAAAATTTGACAGGGCTTTATTCAGAATTTAAAAAATAAGGACCACCCTAGTGTGGAGTCCGGAACGATCTCAACATCTCTTCTTTCATCAGCTTCAGCGGTTAGTTGGTCGCCAAGGGGTTCCGGAATTTTGGTTGCCTTGGCTTCATCCAGTGCTGGCTGGTGTATTTTATGTATACCAATATCTCAGTTATTAGACATGGGACCCACACCAAATTTATAATAGTTTGTAATGACATTAAATAAACAAGTTCGGCGCAAACAGAATTTAAATTAAAATTTGCGAAAAAAAGTTAGTTTTTCCTGTCGCCTCACCCGCCTCCAGGCCCCCTATTTAAGATAATTCAAATTAAAGTGGTGCAATTTATTATCTAATATAATTTATCGACAAATTTAAAATTTTATTTAAAAAATCCAAATATTACAGATTTTATTCGATTTTAAATTTTTATTATTTATTTTATTAAAATAAAAAAATATTTAAAACGGTATAAAACCTGTAATATTTGGATTTTTTAAATAAAATTTTAAATTTGTCGATAAATTATAGTAGAAAATAAATTGCACCACTTTAATTTGAATTATCTCAAATAGGGGGGCCTGGAGGGGGGTGAGGCGACAGGAAAAATTATCTTTTTTTCGCAAACTCCAATTTATTTTATTTAATGTTATTATAAACTATTATAAATTTGGTGTGGGTCCCATGTCTAATAAGTGAAATATTGGTATACCCAAAATCCACCAGCCGCCACTGGCTTCATCTATATTATATGGAAAATTGACTTCAAAAACTGTTCTACTTTTCTAATTTTTGACGACATTTTTGGATTCAGAGGACAATAGATGTAAATTGAGTATGAGTATGAGTATAAGAGACGTATAACCGGCCCCATTGCCTCATCACTCCCGGACCCCGCACAGGCCTCTGTTACCTTACGCCGATTTTTTCCGCCACCAGCACCGACACGGCTTCACCAGTGCTTGCTGGGTGCGAATGTCCATTGCGTCCCGTACTGGCTCAGCGAAATGCCAATAGTTTGAATAGCCATTCCCGGGTTCGCCGGGCCGATGCTATACGCCCAGTAGGATCATGAAGGAGGTAGGACGGGAGCGATAGACAGTTTGGTGTTTGGGGGACAATTACGCCCACTCAAATATAAGTACGACGCGGGATCCCCCTAGACTGGGAGGTTAGTATTACTCCAAACATTTGGGATTACCGTTTGGAGTTGGGGAGTTGTTAGTTCGCTGCAGGGGCCTAGTTACTGGTCGTGGTCAACGTCTTGACCGTTATTGGCTCTGTCCGTGTCGGGTTGTTCCTGCACTTGTTATTGTCTTGTCTCGGCTGTTTTCTTTCGAGTTGCAATCCTATCTTTGTATTTAACAGTTGGTATGCAATTGATGCGATTAGGCAGTTACCGGTGGGAGGTATTTTTGACTTTTACTGTATACTAATGTAATTACCAATTCCATTAGAATTCGGTTTGTGTGTATATATTCTGTGTTTATGTTTTCTTAATTTAATGTTCGTTTGGATTTGAAGTGTTTATTTGGTATCGTTTTGTTTAACGTTTTTTGTTGAACCGTTTTGTTTAATTTATGGGTTTAGTCTTTGTCGTTTGTTATTGATAGATTTATTGTCCTAGTCAGCTTTCCTGTGACCGAGTTAAGAGTTGGGGCGGTTTTGTTTTGTTGTTGTTTTGTTACTATTGTCTTAATGTTACTGGTACACTTTGTTTATTATTATTTTATTTTTTTTTTGTTATTTTTTTTGTTAGTTTTTCTCATGTTTAAGCGAAAAGTGCCTCATTAAGGGTTTTTCAAGGTACCTGTCATGGTGGCAAATAATACATTAGGTCATGCAGATGTTTAAGGTTACTTACTTACGAGAATTGCAAATTGGCCTTTCCTCCCTTGGTTATCCTCTTTTGTTTGTCTTGTGAAAAGCATCCAAATGCGTGGCTAGAGTGCGGTCGACCACCTGTAACCCAGATAGCACAAGATGTCCTGAGGACATCCGGTTTAAATCCTTTACAGACGGTCGCGACCAGAAAACCGATGTACGCGTACTGAGGCCTAGGCCGATGGACATCCTGAGGCCTAGGCCTCAGTACGTCCATCGGTTTTCTGCCTGCGACGATAGTTGAAGATACAAGTTGATATATCACCCTTTATAAAGGGTCTAAGTGAAAAAAAATTACACCTTGTTTTTTATTAAAAATACTCCTTAATCAAGCACGATAAAAGATTTTAAAAAAAGTTGTCAATTTTTTTTTACTTATATAATTATAATTACGGCCCGCGTTATGTTATCCCGGTACCGTTTAGCCATGTTCTAACTGAAGTCGGCCAGAATACGGCATGCCGCTGCAAAATCCTTCGGCTTGCCCTAGCCGGCCCGCTTACGGCTGGAATTCGGCCTGCGCGGCATAATCGATACATCTCACGGCTGCTTACGCACGCGAGCTAACTGTAAATAGCGATTGGTTGCAATATTTAGTTGGAAGTGTGCGTAACGAATAATGTCTAGCTAGTCGAGTGTGTTAAAGAAGTATCTTGCGATTCAGAGAATTTCAGGACTGAACTTGTAGGACGTCTGTAGGCTTTTTTATTATAATAAAACTATGTCCTAATTCGGTCCTCATATGTCCCGAATTGGACAGCTTGGGGTCAAATACGGACGTCCTGAGGACATCTGAAACAGTCTAATCGGGAGTCTGTGGACGTACTACAAACGTACTTTTCCAGACCCCGGACATCCTGAGGACGTTCGGGTTGTCCTGGGTAGAAGTCCTACGAACGTACTTGTGCTATCTGGGAAGGTGTCTACACCTCCACTTCATCACTTCCTTGACCGTTTTGTGTATATATATAGTAATTGTCACACTATTTGCACTTTATAAGCAATCATTGCGAGTTTTGCTGTTTGTAAGTTTCAAGAGAGCGACACAGCAAGATGCGACTAACTTTGACGAGTACTCTGACGTGACTGAGGAAAATTTTACATGGAAATTGACTGCTAAATGTTTGGTATACAAATTGCTATATAGTATAGGTATTATACTTTGGGAAAATAAAAGTGGAATAAAATATTAAAGATTTTCAACTCAATTAAACGCTTTTGAAAAAATAATATTATGAGCACCTAATATGTATTAGGTGCTAGGTACTAGGTACCTAGTATAAACATTAAAAAAACGTTTAATTTTTTATAAAAAAACATTTGGGTTGCTTCATTTTACAGTCTATTTTGCAAAATAATAATAGGCTATACCTACTAATTGTTATGAACTGACACTTGGTGTGTAGATTAATGCACACACCCACCGGGAAGTCACGAAATCCCATCTCATTAAACGTAAAAACAAGAAATATGTCTTAAAAATTTGAGGCAGCGGGTCAAAAATGACCAGACTATACGAGTTAAGGGGTTAAAGAAGTTATACAACATTTTTTCTAATTTTTAGGTTATTTTTTAAACAATGGCACCAATGGTGCCGCACCATCTAAAAATATACCGAGTTGCTTTTTTGGGGCTTTACATTTTTCTTAGTCTACCCAGAAACTTTTTCAGCCAGGCACTCATTTAAATTCAAAAATGATGTTTTTTGAATCACCCTGTTCACTATGGTGTATATTAGGTACCGATTTTAATTCTGAAAAAATGGATTCAACTGAAAAGACTATAAACAATTATATTATAGTTTTTTGAGTTGATACATTAAGATAACATATTAATGTATTTTATTAATAAGTCATATTTATATATACATACCTATATTTAAAAAATCTTTTAACCAGTTTTTGATATTTTTGAAAACTTATAAGTTAATTAACGAGATATAGCACTTTTTGGTAAGAAAATCATATCGTGCCATTTTCATTATTTTTTATTAGTTTATTTTACTAAAATTTAATTCCATTAAGTTGTAATAACATCATTCAGATTAAATGCTAATAAACATTCTATAAATTAAATGTGGCAGTTGCTTTAAACTTTAAAGTATAAAGCATTAATGATGCTTTAAAGCATAATTTAAAATATTAATTTTCACCCACTTTACATTTAAATTAAAAGTAAAGGATTAATTAACTCATACATTCAACTTTATTAGGTATAATAACAAAAAAAGATTACATTAGTAACTTATTTTAATAATAAAATTAAATAACAAATTTGGCCTGTTATGGTAAACAAAATAATATCAACAAAAATATTTAATTTCTAAAAATAAAAATAAAATGTTACGACTAAAAATCTACAATATACATATTAAGAATATACAATAATTTTGTACACATAAGTATAACTAGGTATTTAATATATTGCACTTTGTCTTTTACCTTTTATAAAGGCAATATAGGTCTACTATGTCAATCTCATGTTCATTTTTTCTAATCAAGATGCAAACAAGTTGGGCTATAAAAATATAGAGATGTAGGTAACCTATTTAGATTTTTATTTAATGTAGGTAGATACTTAATTTAGCTGATTATTATTAATAATTAATTAATAATCAGGTAAATTACATAAGTAGCTTAATTTTCAATTTAACCCACAAATTTTTTAAACTCAAATATATGAAAATTAAAATAAGAAATACTTTAAAGTAACTAATATTTATAATTTTCCTTTTTTAAAGGATATTTTAAATCATTACCAGCAAATACAATCAATAGTTATATAATTGCTTACTAACTTTTATAATGTACAGGTAAATTTACAGTATACTTAGCCTATGAGGTAATTTTTACTACTAAGTGTATTTACTATATAACAATTTAAAATATTATTTTAAAATTAGTGAGTTCTGAAGGATCGTACTGATTTAATAAACACAACTTTTGTATGTGGGTTTTTAAACATTAATAAACTTAAATTACCATATTTAAAAATAAAAAAAAAATGTTGAACATAAGATAAAAATAGTAGTTATATTAGTACTATTACGTAGGTATCCTTAAAAAATTAAATATTAACTATTTTAAATTCCCTTTTAAAGTATTTTAGCACAACAGCCTAGCTTGGTAATTATAAAATTTAGCTTATGTATATTATGAACTATCTCCCTGATAATTCTTTAATATTATTATTTATTTTGCCCTTCCACTTTGATTGCTTTTAAACATGACTAAATTTGTACTATAATTGGGTTTATTACTTATTTGAAAATATAATATTTTAAAACAAGTTTGGACTAGCCTAAAATACAACAAAAATTAATTAGGTACGTATTTTTCGAATTAACAATAAACTTAAGTAAAAACCCTTTTTATAGCATCAAATAATCGACTGTTTAAATAAAGTTATTGTTAAAAGCAGTCAAAGTTGAAGGATGTGTCTCAGCTGTTTGCTTGATTCTGATACTGAATCTGTTGGTGACTGTTTGCATAATCCATAGGGAATGTTTGATCTATTTGCGATTGGCTGTCCTGACTGATCTCGATATTATCCGAATCATATTTTATGCCCCTTTTGAACCTACCATACAAAGACGAGTACGGTAAATTATAATGAATTGCGGCCTGGTTAATGGACATGTGACCTAATCTAAAAAATATACAATCACAAAAATGAGGCATTTTAATGGACATTTCATTTTTTACCTTACGGCTTCAAGGGCTTCTCCCATAGCGTCCTCTGACCAAGGTGTGGGGTTCGATCTGGACAATTCGATGCCTTCTCGCTTACATCTGCCATACAAAGTTCCTGTAGGAATGCCAAATTCGGTTGACGCCTTTTGCACCGACGTTTGACCGGTTCTAATCGATTCTAAGGCCTTTTCTAAATCTTCGGGAGTCCAGGTTGTGGGGGCCGCGTTAAATGGGGCTGCCAGTCTTATTCCTTCTCGTCTCGCTATTTTATAAAGAGTGCTGCTGGGAATTCCTAATAATAATAAAAAAAATGTCAAGTGTTTGAACATTTAAATACGGAGTGTGTCAAAAAATTATTTTTAACGGTTTTCGCTCACGCTAAAAGTTTTCATGGTTACCAAGAAACAGTTATAATTAATATATATAATTCAGTTGATGCCATATGAAACATAAGTAATTTACGACTAAAGTATAACTATATTCGAGGGGTCACCCACACCTGGGAATCCCTGGACATTTTAGAGAGGGAATACCATAGGAATACAATGGAAATACATAGGAATACAATAAAATATAATGGGAATACATGGGAATCCCTGGACGTTTTCCCTTTGGGTGGTTGACCCCTCGACTATATTATAGCTTATTTTCCAACTCACTAGAATAAACATTTTGGTACGCTATAGCTAACAGCACGGGATATTCTAAGAATATTATCTAAATCTACTTAATAGATTGAAAATATTCCTAATTTTCCTGTAGTATTCAGAGAATATTATTGCCTCTAAGTTACGAGTACATTCATGGATGATTCATTTCAGTATATATACATTATTCATTTTGGTATATTCCTACAATATTCTACTAATATTCAGTTGTTCCATTTTTTATTTAGTCTAATTTATCTAACTGAATCGGTGAGATTAAGAACAGTCCAAGTCCACTTTTTTAAAATTTGTTTATGATTTTTCTTAAATTGATAATTTACAACGAAAAATTGATAAATAAAAATATTGTTCCACTATAAGCCTGTGACCTGTAATGTTCTTAATTTCACCGATTCAATTAAAATTTTAAAAATGCACCAATTGAATATTACAAGAATGTTGAAGGAATATAGAAAAAAGCGTGGTTGGACACTTTTATAAACTGCACCCTTTGTTAAGGACGATTTTTTTATAACAATGAATTTTATTTTATATTCTTTATATTATGTTTAACTTAAACAGTTTAAGGTAGGTATATCATACCGTATATGATATTTGATTGAATATTCCTGGTTTATTCCGAATATGCCAAGAATATTTCCAAGGGAATGTTCCTGGTGACTAATAGTTAAATATTCTATAAATATTCCTAGAATATTTCTTGAAACATTCACAAAGGAATATTCTTAGAACATCTGACGAATTCCCATTGGACTTTTCTAAGAATATTCCAAATTTATGCGGGGAATATTCTAGGAATATCTAATGTTCTTCGGGTAGTGGTTAATCGGCTACAAGACTTTCACGCTGCACATATGTGCACTAGTGCACTAGTGTGCCATTGCTCGTAGACTGTTTATTTTACTGGGTTGGTAAAATAAATAGAGACTATAGCAATTATTGAGCTATTTTTATGCGGTAATCGTCAGTGCAATATTGTGAGAATATTCAATGTTTCTAAACAGATCGTATCTGTCAAGCAAAATGGGGACCGGCCTGGACGAGGAAGACAAAGATTATCTCGATGTTGACATAAGTAAGCAAAAGATCTTTACGGAAAATATTAAAAGAAGGCCTGAAACTATTCCCTTACAAAATGCAGGGGCTCTCTTAATTCTGAAATATCGTAAACCGTGACATCGCCTAAATACAATGGTTTGTTCCAGGAAAACTTATTATTATATTATTTTTGAGGAAAAAGTGGTGACAATGTTAGTAAGTGTGGTCTCAAGATCACTTCCAAGAACAACAATGGAGCTTTTAACAAGACCAAATTTCCTAACAAAATATGAGTGGCTCCTTACTTACCCGACCTCAATCCCATGGATTACAGGGTATGGTATATTTTAGAGACACGAGCAGGTTTTAAAGCTCATTAAAGTATCGACGCCTTAAAGCAATCATTGTTAGCAGAATGAAATAAAATATTTGTAGATGAGTTGCGTAAATTGAGTAAGTTTTCGCTGATAAATTATAATTATAGGTATATTTTGGTGTTATTATCTTGTCTATGAAAATGGTGTATATAACAGTTTAATTTTGTGTCCGAGTAGCCTGTAATCACGTGAGTTCATTGGCTCTTTGTATTTTTTCGGGTTTTTTAAAAACGTCTATACCTACTTAAAATGTAGCTATATTGATTTCTTCATTGAAGTGATGAGTATGAGTATGAGTATAAGAGACGTATAACCAGCCCCATTTCCTCTTGACTCTTAAACCCCGTACAGGCCTATGTTTACTTACGCCGATTTTTGTTCTTCCCCAGCAACTGCACGGCTTCACCCGTGTTTGCTGGGTGCGAATGTCCATTGCGTTCCGTACTGTCCCCTATTTGGGGCTTGAGAGCGAGAGGCGAATAGTTATAATAGCCGTTCCCGGGTTCGCCGGGCCTATGCTATACGCTCAGTGAGGTATGGATGAGGGACGGGAGGGAGTTGGTTTTTGGGGGACAATTACGCCGACTTAAAACTAAGTACGACGCGGAATCCCCCTAGACCAGTCGGTTAGTATTACTCCAAACATTTGGGATTACTATTTGGAGTTGGGGAGTTGTTATTACGCTGCAGGGGTATAGTTTCCTAGTCGAGGTCTTCGTCTTGTTCATTATTGTCATTATCCGTGTCGGATAGTTCCTGAACTTGGTAAAGTGTGTCGGTTGTTTTTTTTTTTTATTTTTTATTTTTTTTTATTGTTGTTTAGTTGCTCCCAACTGGTCTTGTTACTTTGTGAAAAGTGCATGTATTGTGCTACGTGTCATGAAATGTGAAGCATGGTCTACCGATTTTTTTTGTCTTTAAGATCTAGTTTAAGGGTGGCTTGTAGTATGTTGTTGCGTTGTCTACGAGTGACGTGGACCCAGTGTTTAATTGGGCTACTCTTACCCTTTTGGTAATGGTTTTTCCCATTGGTACGATAATCGGCACACATGATAAACTCCCCCGCAAAGAAATACAACCCCCCGCGGCCCCCCCGGAAGACAATCCACACAACGGCAACCGTGCTACGACTACCGCCGTGTAGACCATCCCCCGTATAGGCCACTGGAGGCTGCACCCCCCCGCGGAGGAGCCCATCACTCGTGCCGAGCGTAAGGCCGCAATCGCTGCGATAAGGCAGTTCCCAGTGGGGGTATTTTTTTTACTTTTACAAATTTTATAATTTTCTAAAAGTTCGATTCTTTCTCTTTTACTTTTTTTTTATGATTAAATTATAATAATTATTGTTACATAATTATTACAATTATTGTAACTTAATTCCGAAAATTCGATAATTTTATTTACCCAATTCGTTAATTTCAACTTTTACATCTGGCAATACTGCTATTCACACTCAACTTGTTTATGTTATTTTTGTCTTCTTGCATGTTTAGTTTATTTATTTATTTATCTTACGCCTTTTTCGATGGTTGTTTATGATTTGTCTGCTATGAGAACATGAGGTTGTTTGTTTAAACTTAAGGAAATGTTCTTATTCTTTTTTAATTTAGTTTTTGAGACAATAAAAGAATTCTTAGTATTTTCTTTTTGCAACATTGTGAAATGCTTACATAAACATTGTGAAATGCTTTTATAAACATTTAGCGAATATACGGTAAGACATGCAATTGGAAAAAATAACTTAGCTTGACCATTTGGTGCTGGAATTGAACCATTTCGCATGCCGCTCGCACGTGTGGTAGTCCAGTAAATTTCGTGGAAGTGTCGTCTCTCTCACACCTTTTAACCAGGTCAACCCTTGAGGATTTAATCAATGGGGGAGGTACCACACACAATTTGCACTCTTTTGCACTTGGGACCGTTATCACGTTTAGAATCGATTGATTTTTTATTATTTTACGGCGTTAACCAGTTATCACGTTACTACATTTGTATCGTATACGCTGCTTAAGAGAGATCGATGAGCATATGCTTACACTTCAAGCGTCAAGAGCAGACTGAAGTGATTCATTCATTGAAATTAATTAAATTATAATTATCAAAATCGAAATGGTTTTTATAAACTTTATTTTTTAAAAGCCAGTATTAGAAAGAACTTCTCTTAAAGTCCAGTTTTGCAATACAATTTAACCTCTTAAAGGAAAAAATTAAATGTAATATTTGTAAAATGCGGTGTTAAAAAACGTCTTTCAATATCTCTTTGGCCAGTTTATGTTAAATGTCAGCAGTTAGCCTAGCCATGAATTCACAGATTCATCTTAGAGTAAATTACCCAAAATCGAAAAACGCACTTTTTTTCTATTTGAAAATATATTACATTCCAAGCTAATTTTTTTTCTTCACAAAACTCGGTTTGCCATTTGAAAGTACCTACTCTTGAGACCAAGGAAATACAAAACTATATAAAATATCCCTTTAGTAAATATTTTGGTTGATTACTGACTGTAAATTTTAGCGATGTCACTATACACGATTTTACAGGATTAACAGAGCACTTGCATTACCTATGTAAGGGAATAGTTTTAGACCTTGTTTACCTATTCGCTTATGCCAATTTCACGAGCAATTTTTATACCCTTTTAACATCCTTTTTTATTTTTTAAATATCTATCCTCCTCTTCAAGTAAAAATTTAGTTTTGTATATTAAGCAGGAATATATAAAAATCCATCTGAGTTTAAATACTGATTTTTTTTGGGTTTCAACTTTTTCAAAACTTGACGTGATGGAGTAATTCTGTCGGATTCAGATATGATTTTGCACCATAAAACATGCGAATACTAAATTCTTTAGCAACTATAAAGACCTTAAATCGTATTTCATTTTAACCAAGAAGGTGACAAGAAAAATAAAATTAAAATTATAATTAAAAACTTACCGTAGGCCTTACTAGCCTTATTTGCGGAAATGGTTCCAGTGCGAAGGGCTTCCAAAGCGCTGTTAAGGTTTTCCTCAGTCCACGATTTGGTCGGGCCTTCTTTCTTTGGTGTGTCTATTCCTAATCTATGTGCTCTTTGCCATAATGTAGTGGAGGGAATACCGTAAGTCGCAGATGCTTTCGTCAGACTCATGTTGTGGTTTCTTAAGGCGTCCAAGGCCAAGTCCATGTCTTCTTGCGTCCAGGTCTTCGGGCCGCCACCGTGGGAACGCGGATGATGCATTCCATCCGAGTGGCCGTTGTTTTTGCTTCCAGGTACATCGTCATTATTACTTAAATCTAACAAAAATTCATAATTAATCAAAGATAAACTAAACTCATTAAAAATTTCTTTCCAAGGGCGCGCCCGGGCGTGGGGCGAAATTTGATAATTTGGACTGCTGAAGTCTCACAATAACATTTAAAGATATTTTTGATATAGTTTTTGATCTTGAATCAGCATTTTTTTACCAGAGCTATAAGCTTAATATTTATAGTAGAAATATTTTACAAACACATATATGTATGTTTCTTATGAAATTGACAAGTTTTTTGGATTGTTATACCTGTCTACCCAAATGGGTGTACATCACTTCTTTACAAGGTTGTTTACTAGTAGCGTCCACCCCAATGGGTAGACAATAATTAATTAAAAAACAAATTAAATATAAAATCTGTTTATTAAAATTATTAATATTTTTGACATTGATTTCTATTTATTTGGATGTCCATTTCAAAAGAAAAAAAAACGAATTAAATTTATAATCTAACCTCACTCTGGTACTTAATATAGGACAATAGAAAATGCCGAAGTAAGATTCTACAAATACCTACGTCATGAAATTCGAATTAGCCAAGACAACTAGACATGCGGAAATGCGAGCCTCACATGGGCAGCTTTTGGAAACTTCAACCAATGTGTTCTTCCCGTCATGACCTACAGAGCTAAAATACTAAGCCTAACCTAACTAAATCTATAAATAAGATATGAGTTACCCAGAGAATGAAAATGTTAATAGACATTAGGGTGGCCCAAAAAAATAAGAATATTTTTTTTCTCTTGTCTCTTGTGAAAATATGTTGGTTTGTCATGTTTTAAGAGCCCTGTCAACAGATCAGCTCCATTACAAAATTTTTAGGGGTCGCTCAAGATTTTTAAAAATTTCCAAAATCGTCAAAAATAGGATTTTTTTTTATTTTAATTTTTTTTCTCGTTCCGATATTATTTTTTAATTTAAAAATAATAATGATTCTAAAAATTTCAAATGGATATTTTGATTTCTAAAGGTCGCTCAAGATTTTTTTAACTTTCAAAGTAGAGTATTTTGAATGTTTTCGAGCGACCTCTGAATATAAATACCAACGAACTTTTAGCGACCTTTAGAAATTAAAATATTGATTTGATATTTTCAAAATTTTTATTATTTTCTACCAAAAAAATAATATCGAGACAAGAAAAAAAATTAAAATAAAACAAAAATTCAATTTTTGACGATTTTGAAAATTTTAAAAAATCTTGAGCGACCCCTAAAAATTTTTTAATCGAGCTGATATTTTGACAGGGCTCTTACAGCATGATAAACTAACATATTTTTACAAGAGACGAGAAAAAAAAAGATATTCTTTTTTTTGGGCCACCCTAATAGGCATATTCATGCTCACTTAAAATAAGAAATACGAATAAGAAATAAGATAATGAATGGCTTTTATATATTAACAATTAAGAATAAACGGGTGGACAGTAGCAAAAATTTGGGTTCTTGTGTCAAGCCAGCAAAAATTTGAGTTTTCAAAATATATGACTGCCAAGTCAACATGTTAAAGATGAATTATAAAACTTTTTTGTATTTTTGTATTAAATTTATGGGAACTACAATGTAGGTCATACATAACAACATGTCAATTAGCAGGTTTTGTTAGATTGCCGCGATATCTCATTTCAAAAACCGTTGAATTTTTTTAAATTATTTGTATATCTTGGTGTATCTGCTCTTAGCCCCTCATTTGGGACTCCACCAGGCATCAGGATACGTTGGGCTAAAAATTAACATATTGAACTTCAATAATTGAAGACTCAATATATGATAATCTAAGCAGACGCATTCCTATAGAAGATGCCGAAGTAGGATTCTACAAATACCTACGTCATGAAATTCGAATTAGCCAAGACAACTAGACATGCGGAAATGCGAGCCTCACATGGGCAGCTTTTGGAAACCTAAGAGAAGCACTTAAATCTTCCCGTTATGACCTACAGAGCTAAAATACTAACCCTAACCTAACTAAATCTATAAATAAGATATGAGTTACTCAGAGAATGAAAATGTCAATAGGCGTATTCATGCTCACTTAAAATAAGAAATAAGAAATAAGATAAAAAGTTAAAACCGTGTAAAGTAATGGGTGTGTTCATGTTCATGAAAATAAGAAACATCTTTGAATTGGGTTGGTTAAAATTAGAAAATTATTTTGACGAGTACCCCCACCTACTTGCGAGAAAAACTTATTTTTCGTAGAGATCTTCATTCAGTTTCAGTAAGACAAAATAATAATTTATCTTTACCAAAGTTTCGTTTATCCATGGATGTTTACGCGTTCTTTTAGCTATAATGCTGTTGTAGGTACTTTATAATAATGTGAACAAAGAATTAAAAAATCTTTCATTAACTGCGTTTAAGCGTAGGCTAAAACAACATTTTTTGTATTCTTGTTAATTATATATATATATATATATATATATATATATTTTTAACAATTCATTAAAGTTTTTAAATAATTTTAAATTATTTAGTTGAGAAATGTTTTTTTTTTCAATTTTTCGATGTAACTAAAAATTGTCAGACTAGGTTAAGTGGAGTAGCCTGAGGCTAGACTTCGCCTAGTTTAAAAAAAATGTAAAAAATACTTTTTACTTAAATAAAGACATTTTATTATTATTATTATTATTAAATAAGAAATAAGACTAAATATAAATAACTTTTAACTTTGTTTCTTATTTTTGCGTATAAAACTGCGCAGGTTAAAATAGGTCTGTGAATTAATTGGTTTCCCTAGTAGCACCAAATATTGGTCCTATATGGGGCGCGTCTATGCCCAATATTTTATCTGGATTTATTTAGCCGATGTTAGCCCTATATTGGCATAAAATGATATTTTTATATATCATAGCCAATATTTATCCAAGGTTGGTCCTATATTGGCATATTATTTTAGGCCAATATATCATTAACTATTATAGTCAACGATGCTTTAGGATTTCTAAAAGTGATATGTAACCGTTACATTGTAACGACACACGTTTGTTTCCAGGATATGCAGTTTTAGTGATTTTTTACACTTTTCAAAGCTTTCAAACATACGAATTTTTGAATTAAAAAAATAATCCTGGTATAGATTCTTTGGGAAATTTTATGCTCTACAAGAATCCGCTACGTAAAATTTTTTATCTCAAACGGTTCAAAAGTTATAGTCTTTTTAATGAAAAAAGATTTTTTTAACGTGTTATTTCAATGGAAAACTTAAAATGCTCACCGACAACTTTTAAAATTGAGCAAAAAATTTTGCCTTGCAGGGAAATTTTTTGCTTGGTATTTGGTTCATTTTAACCCATAAATCCGATAGGTTAGTTTTTTTGGCTCACCCTAATGTCTATACTAGTGGGGCAGGAACGGATTTAAGTTGGGGGTGGCGCAACCGACTACCATCCTTATTGTTTATTTATACCTTTGGATAACGTTTGTTATTGTTTTCATTGACGGAATAGAACGATCCGGATTTTTAACTGAGAATAGGTCTCTTGTTTGACATAGAGAATTGCCCACTAAGGACCTATATACTTATATATATACTTAAATAAAACAAATTAATTTATGTACAACGCTCGAAATACAGTTTATCAAATGCAAAACATAACTGAATCGTCGCCTACGGCAACCCGCTTACAATGAATCTGGGAAAGGGCATCTGGTAAGGGGCGTTCGGAGTCACTCGAGTGACTTGTCTTAGTACCATGACTCAAATAAAAATACGGTAGTTCTCACTTTTTCAAAAGATGCCCATGCTGATCCTTTTGCAGTTTTTTTATATGATTGAGTTAAATCTACTTATTTTAAGCAAAGGAAACCTTGTTTTTACGTTGTAAATGCGAAAAAGCACCATAATATTTTAACAACATCGCATAAATAGCAAGATAGAAACATTTATTGAAAATTTAATAAATGCATTAAAAATTTAATCTTTTTGCCTATATATTTTGGGCTTTAATGTAAAAAATCAGAAATGATCAAACTAAGTGAGGCCCTAATCCACGTATTTTACGGCCACCCTGTTAACACTTTTGTATCGCAATTTTTATGAAATTCCCCACGGTGCTGTTCTGAGAGGTGATTTTTGGACTTTCTGTGACACCTAATTTTTTTTATATTCTTGTTAATTAGGTCATAACTAAAATTTTAAGAGCAAAATAAAAAAAAAATTGACGGTTTAAATTGTTTTAATTGGCTGTTTATTAAAAATATTATGCACTCTTTCAATTATCCAATTAAAACTAGCGATTTAATTTAAATATTTAATATTTGCATAACTAAAAAAAAGGTTTTTACAATTTTTTTTTATATATTTTACTGTTTTGTTGCAATAAACGTTCAAACTTTTAATCTAACCTTTGACGTATACATTTATGTTCCCTTAATTAATATATCCTTAAAGGTTGCCATGAAACTTAGATCTATTAAAAATTTATTTGATGTTTGAATTGTCATTTTCAGTATACACAGAGAAAAGTAATCTCTTGATTTTACTATATCTGTCTTGACTCAAATAAATTATTTATTTCGATATGATACAAGAAGATATTTATTTAGTGGAAAACTTGGGTTTATTTGACTTTTTAAACTGATGGTTTGTTTAATACAAGTAAATATTTAGTTGACTTTTTATCTTACTTAAAGAAACAAAACATTTACTTGTATCAATTCTTTTATTTTGTTAAAATAAGATATTATATGCTTGTGTTAACATTTGATAAAACTAAATCCCTATAACCTATATCCAAACAATTTAATTAATTGATCTAAATAAATATTTCTTTACAATTAATCACAACAATAAGTTGTTTTCAAGAAACTCATGATTTACAACCAAATAATAGTATTTTCTTATTGTAAACAAGAAGTTACTACAAATAAGACAATTTTACTTCATACAAGAAAAACTGTTTCAAATAAATGCATTTTCTTAAATCAAGAGATTACTTTTCTCTGTGTACGTATTCTATAATTTTTGTTTAGTTTTTTAAAGTGTTTTTTATAAACAAAAATGAAAAATTGTAGTAAAATTCATGAAATTTAACTAAGGACCGGTTTATTCACCTTTAGTAAAGTTTATCGGGCCGATAACTTTCATGTCTTGGCAATATCTAGTATCCAAAGAAATTATTCGTCAAATAAATAAAAAATGAATAAATCGGCCCTAAATAAAATGTGGCACCCTTAGAATTATTGTTTAATAAATGTATACTATATATTTAACCTTAAATTAAAACTTTAAACGTGTATTACAACAAAACAGTAAAAGATATAAAAAATGTATAGACCTTTTTTTAGGAAATTAACTAATCTTTGATCTGATTTAAAAAGTTATGATAATATTTAAATAAAATCGCAAGTTTTAATTGGAGAATTGAAAGTGTGCATACATATTTTTAATAAACATCCAATTAAAACAAAATTAACCGTCAAATTTTTTTTATTTTGCTCTTAAATTTTTAGTTATGACCTAATTAACAAGAATATAAAAAAAAATTAGGTTTCAGAGAAAGTCCAAAAATCACCTCTCAGAACAGCACCGTGTCCCCCTTACCTAATCTATTCGATACACCTGGCATCATTCCGACGAAGTCCGGCGTCACCATCATGGAACTGTATCCGCGTTCCCCGTCCTCGTGACTGTCCATCGAGTGATCCGGTCCGGACATGTGCGAGTCCATCTCGAGCAACGAGTCCGACTCGAAGGATCGCAACGTCTCGAACTTGATGTCGGCCTCTTTCTTGATGTCCAACGTGTACTTGGTGTTGTCCGATATATCTGTCCGATGGATGGCGTTGGTGAGAAGGGTCCTGGTTGGCGAGTGATCTTGCATGTCGACGTGGCCAACTGGGATGGCCGAAGGCGCCGGCGGCTCCGGGGGGAAGTCGTCGGTGTCCACGCCGAACTGGGAGAAGATAGTCTATGGGTTTTGGAAGACAATCCGATTGGTTATTGTGTTAGTAAAGTAATGAAAAAACGTAGTGTTGTTAGTAGAATTAGGCACAAATATATAGATTTAAGCATTTAACAGCAACGTTCAAGGTAATGTGTTCAATAATGATTAATAACGATATCTACCCAGACCACAAAATCCCATTCCCTGCACATGTCAGGAATATTTCCAAGCGTACCAGATTATTCCCCGGAAAATTCCTGGCCTAATCAAATGTCCGCTTTTTGGTTAACCCAGTCATCATAAAAAGAATATTTCATGTAGCGGCATGCAAAACACTTAAGTATTGTTAGAAGAATGTAATAATTTGGGGATTACTCCTAGCCTTCCTTGATAGCACAGTTTATTCTATGTTTTTTAAACCTTCCAGTGGGAATACTTTTAGGGATCATGCTATATTTCTTCTAGTCAAGTTCTAAGAATGTTTTTTAAACCTTCCTGTGAGAATATTCTTAGGATCATGCTATATTTCTTCTAGTCATGTTCTAAGAATGTTTTTTAAACCTTCCAGTGAGAATATTCTTAGGATCATGCTATATTTCTTCTAAAGAACATGCTTAAAAGAAATATAGCATAATCCTACGAATATTCTCACTGGCCTATAGGCAGGTTCTTAGAAGGTGCAAAGTTTAGTGGTAAAAAATTAATCCACTCTAAACATATGCTTAGAATGTTGAGAAAGTAATTGCTATAGAAAGTTCATTTAGGAATATTCCTGGAACATTCTGTTAAGCATATTCAGTTCAGTTAGGTACCTATATAATTGTAAAATATACCCTAATCTACGTATAAAGGTACCTATACTTAGTATTAAATAATAAGTAAAAAACTCAACCCAAAATATTTTTTTATAGTTATTTGTCAAATTAAAACAATATTCGATAACAAAAATACTTTTACTATAGGTATCTAAATTATCCGTCTTTTACATAAAATCTTCTATCCAACTTAAATACAATGAAAAATGTTTTTTTTATGAAGAACTATTTGGTTTTTTCTTTTATGAAGAATTATTTTATAAGGAAATATTTTGTTTTTTTATATTTTATTTTATGTTAAAAATAAATATTTATTAATTTGTATACCGATTTTTTATTTCTAAATTAACATTTTTATGTATAATAATCCTAACTATCTTCATCTTCAATCTAATCTGACTTATCCCACAAAATTTTCCAATTATACTTTTTTATGAAATAATGTCATACAACTTATGGTTTAGAGGTCAAATTGTTTATTTAATATTTTTAAATAAATATATATTATGTCGCAAAATTTTTTAAGGGGACGACAAATACATTTCAATTTCATATTATGACAGTGAGGCGTATTTTAAGAATGTAGAATCCAACAAATTAGAAGGTAAGTATCTGACATATTGGAAATATTCTCAAAAGCTTCCTAGAAGCTCCATAAGACACCTTCTAAGAACATTCCAAAAACGTATTCTTGAAATGTTCTTAGAATGCTTTTTAGGAAGGTTTTAAGAAGCTTCTAAGAATCTAATTGCATCATTAAAAGGGTATCTATTGAATGTTTTAAAAGTCCCTAAGAACATTCTTAGCAATAAGGGAAGGTTCTAAGAATATTCCATTATTCCGGGTCATATCTTCTTAGAAGATTCTTAGAATCAAATTTTTCTATCAGGGTTATGGCCACTTATATCCAGGAACTTAACAACTAGAAGTTATTAGTTACTGAGTAGATCAATCCCACTCTAATCATTGTTTAGCTGTGCCATTACAGACGCACATCTCCAGCTGATATTATTATCCTATCGGTATATATAGTTATCAAGCGTGCGTAAGCAATGGTGAGAGGTATTACTAAACTAATGAATATTCACTGGGAATGTTCTTAGATGGTGTTTGGAAGTTTTAGAGGATCATTCCCAATGAATATTCCTAGAATGAAGCGGATTATTCCTAGATAATAGCGCATATTTCTGGAAAATAACCAATTTGTAGAAAGAGAAATTTATATATTGTTTTTTGAATATAAAGAACATTCACTGGGAATGTTCCAAGATGTTGCTTGGAAGTTGTAGAGGATCATTCTATGAAATATTTCCAATGAATATTCACTGGGAATGTTCTTAGATGGTGCTTGAAAGTTTTAGAGGATCATTCTATGGAATATTTTCAATGAATATTACTAGAATAAAGCGGATTATTCCCAGATGATAGGGCATATTTCTGGAATATTTTCGAACCTTCATTGCAGTCTGGGTAAATATATCAAGATTTATACGACTAAGCCAGTGTGGTCGTAAACGAGAATCACACTAGGAAAAAAACATCGTGGAACTGATTTTAAAAGGGTTAGTTTGTTGTTTGGGTAAAGTTGTTTAAGGAAATAAAATGTTCAGTAATAAATACATACTTGGTATAGACTAGTATTTTACTATTATTCTTAAAGGTGTAAAATAAATCCCTTGTTTCTATTTGATTTGGCAAATATTAGTAAACATTTACCTGTCCCGTAAGTAATCCATGACTGCTCATGTTTAGGGGTTTCGTCTGCTCTGGCTCTAGCCGTTTCTTTTTGTGTTCATCCAAAGCTACTGGCATGTCATTTTCTTCGTTGCTCGACGCACCTTCATCAATGTTTTCCTTATCTTCAAAATCCGAACTGTCGCCAGGTCGATTGTTATTGTTAATAGTTCTGAAAAAAGGTAAGTTTACACATGCAATGCGACTATTGTATATTCCAACTGTTGAAAATTACGATGAGCACGAAGCAGCATTTTTGGTTCCAAATACCATTACCAAAGTGGTGATAACTTTAAATTAGTTAAGTATACTAAACAGCTACTTTAATTTTTACTTAAAAGTAATTCTAACTTTTAAATAGCAATATTTTGTAACAGAAACTTCATTCTTTCCTTAAATTGTTACTATAAAGTAATAAACATTTAAATAAAACTTGGTTGCCCCCAACAAGACTTTGCAACTTTAAAAAAGGTGTTATAAGTAAAAAAAAACTTTCAAGTAAATTTAATTTGTAGCAGTTACTTTCGGTTGCTACCTAAAGATTACATTATATTTATTTTTACCCTTTGCAAGTTAAAATCTCGAAACTGGAACATGAGTTAAAACCTACAAAGTTAATAACTTAAAAGTTATTATTTTAGTATTTGGAACGTTTATGGTACTAACCAAAAATACCGTAAAGTAAATTAAGATGAAAAAAACTTTAAGTAGCGAAAACTACTTCAATGGAAAGTGCTTCTTATCGGCCATTTTTTAATGTACAGTAATGTACGTGGTAATGTAAATAATAAACTATTTTAATTGTTTGTAAATGGTTGTCTACTTTTTAATAAATGGTAATTCTGTTGGTAATAGACGGTATTAATAATTAAATAAAAAATTAATAATAAATATTAAGATTTTTTTATTTATAAACAATATTAAATAAATAATTTGTTTATACTTAAATATTGATGAAGCGCATTTATTTTACAAACACTAATTCTAAAGTTCATCAGTAAAATTTAAAGGGTTTATAAATTTACCTGCCTAATTAAACATTATATTGTTATTCTGGAAGTTACAAACTACCAGTATATATTTAATAAACGACGACATTGAAAAGCCAAGTTCCTAATGGTTCCATTTAAAAAAGGATGGATAGTATAATCTAATATAAGTTTGACAAAGACAGTTAATATATAAGCATTGACTAAACTCATAGAAATAATACTATTAGTATTATTTATGACTAAACTCAACGATAGAAGTAAAAACAAATAAATAAAAGTAATTATAACGCTCTAGCAACGATATTGAAACGTTCTAGTACCGTAGCAGCTAAGTTCCAAATATTAGCAGGGTTTATAGCTAATGACATATTTGTTTCCTTTTTGGAACTCAATAATTGTTCCCCACTTTAATCGTATCTTAGTATTTTTTGTATATAAAGGTCTTAATTTATAACTCAAAAAACGCACTTCGAGAAAATAAACCTTGGGTCCAAAAATAAAATTGTATACGAGCGCAGTTGTTTTTGGCTGCATTTGACTAATTTAAATGTCAAAGTGGGATTTTTGTGGAGCATAGTACTTTGGTTCAACCAATTTTGTTTTTATTTGTCAATAAAACACATCAAACTTTTTACCATCTTGTTTTAGGTCCTTCAGATTTTTTCACCAAAAAAGATTAATTAAACGAATTAAAACTGGCAAAGGATTTTCGATCTGATATTTGATATTGAAATATAGCTAAAGCCGAGGTTCACCACCGAATAAGTGTTATTAAGTGGTAAACCTCAACGCCAACATTTAAAAGCAATAAAGATTCACTTAACATGGTATTTGGGTTGTTGCAATAAAAATTAATTAAAAATAGTTTAAAAATCAAATTGGATTGGGATGGAAAAAGGTGAGTTAAAAATCAAGCAAAGTGGCAATTAAAAGAGTTAAAATTAATTTTTAAAGCATTGGTGGTTAATTGACTTACCTCCTAAACAATTTACGTTTTCTCTTATTGTCGTGCAATTTGAATTGTTTTGGAGAGGAAGACTTCCTGCCTGGCTTGGAACAAAGGGCTATGGGCTGGGGCTGTGGCGAACCGGCTTTCAGATCTTTGTCGTCAGGTGATTCGCACAGTCCTTTGATCTTTAATTGGTCGGCGGTTCGCAAAAGTGACTGTAATAAAAGGAAATCACGTTAAGTTTTTCGAAAATTCCTTACAATTTTCTCGCTCTTGTACGCCCTTGAAAAAAGACACATTGCATTTTTTAAGTGGCTCCCAAAAACATTTAATATCAATTACCTAAGGCCATGAGTATGTTGGAGCTGTGATAAAAGCGTCGTCGCTATCGTTACTAGCGATGCAATATTTTTTAAAACATGTTGCATCGCTACTAACGATAGCGACGAAGTTTCTTACAGCTCCAACATACTCGCGGCCTAAGAGTAGGAAATATTGTTAACAATCTGAATTTACACTGTCAAATAATTGCTTACCTCCACTAATGTAAAATAGTCTATTAACTTGCCAAGATAGTTCAAAAACACAAAAATCAAAAAGATTAGGGGAGAGTAGGGTAATGAGGACCCCTTAAGCAGTTCTGCTATATTTTGGTTATTTTTCAGAAATTATTTAAGTTTGTGTCATTTTAGCTTAAATTAATTATTAACAAACACACATCGTTAAAAAAATTATTTTATTTATAACAGAAAGAACACATTTTTATAAAAATAAAAAATGTCAAAAGGGCCTCATTATCCGCCTCGTCGAGAAATGAGGACCCCAAAGTAAACCTGCTCTCTATTTACAAAAATTGCATGTATATGCCGATTTTTTTTCTTGCACCTGAGCATTCGGAATACGTCCACTCAAGAGTCTTGAGTCAAGTCACATTACACATGTATCATAACGTTGGCCCTGCTAGATGCGGGAGCATCCTCGTTCACATTTGACGCTGCATCTGCTACAGCTTCTTTAGGCTTTCGTATAGTTTTAAGAGGAAAAGCAGTTAAAGCTATTGCTGGAGTAAAGTCTTCTACATAAAAAATGTTTTTTTTTACTTTGAGTCAATGAGGACCAGAGGGGCCTTATTGCCCCAAACAAAAACAAAAAATATCATAAAAATATCAAAAATATTACTAACGTTTTTATAACTGATGATTTTGATGAGAAGAAGTATTAAATACTGATTTGCAAGCAACAGATGAAATAAAATTGTTTATTTGAATCAATTTTGGACTGTACCTATAAATATGACTGTTTAATAAGATCGAAACGCCATAAATAATAAAAGAAGACGTACAACTTTAACTATCGATAAAACAGACATAATAACACGGTGGGCCTGATTACCCGGTGAGCCCGATTACCCAACTCTCCCTTAAATATTAAATAATCACATCTTAAATTGTTTTTTATATTTATTAAATGCAATGTAATAATTCTTTAAAAAACATGTTTTAGTGCACTATAATACATTTTTTGTATAAATACGATGCTTAATAAGGATGCACCCTAACGCAGCAGAGCAGCAACAGCAGCCCAGCAGATAAGATTGTACCAAAACGTCGTCAGAGATACGGTTCTTTTAAGAACCAAAAACCGACAACACAGAGCAGATCCCGGAAAACCATCAATACATGGCCATTTCTAGGGATATGCCGTATGTGACCTTCTCAATTGTGCAAATTAATATTTGCTCAATATTAACAATATTTTGTAGTGTTTAATATTGGATTATTAAATAAAGCCGGGTCTAACACGCAAAACACCCAGCTGACAATAGAACCTTGCTTAAGCCGGGTCTACATTGTCGCAGGGGTCCGATCGCAGAACATAAGCTTGCGCAAATCACCCCGCGACGTGGCGATGGAGCAAGGTTCTTTTGTCAGCTGGGTGCTTTCCGCAAGCTTATGTTCTGCGATCTGCGCCCTGCGACAATTGTAGACCCGGCTTTAATTTGGTGTACATATAGTCGGCGCGGCGAATGCTTTCCGTTGCGTCATTAATTTAAAATGTCAAAAACCGGTTTTTCGTCAAACCATCTATTTAAATAATATCGGAGGAGGAATGTTTCAAATAAATAAAAACGAAACGTATTGTCATCTTTTTGTGGCTTTTTTGCTTGGATATCATGTAAATTATTTGTTTACAGTCTAAAAATAATTAAAAAAAAAAAAATTTTAAAAATGAAAAAAAAATGGATTTTTACAATGAATTTAAAAACTTCAGAGATGTAAAACATTTAAAGAATAGTAAGTTTCACCAATGAACGCAAAATAATGTTAGCTATTGGCAAAATGGATTTTGTATGCTCTGTGATCCCAAATCAAGTTATCTGAATGCTTTTAAAATTTTAAAAGTGGGTGTCTTTGAACACATATTTTAAAGTAGTAGGTAGGAACCCATTTTCAGCAGTTTAATTAATAAATTCACAATTAAAGTTTTATTAGACATAAAAAAAGACTTAAAAATATTAAAGACCACTAAAATTATAGTTCTAAATTATTTTTTCTACTCCTATATTTAAACGTACATGTTTTTAATAAAATCCCTTTTATGATATTTTAAATATTTCTTGATGATTTTATTGCATTTTAGTCACAGGCTGAAGTTAGCAGCAGTGGCTTTCGGGCTTTTTAGTTACAGGCTAAAGTTAGATTTAACTCAGTTGACAGTTGCAAATGTCATACAATCGTCAAAATAAAGTGTCCTTCTTGTGAAATAATACTAAATGTGGGAATTATTTTATTATGCCAATACAAAATTATTAAATAGTTTCTTGACACCAATCTTTGTAAGGTTTATATATACGTTTAAACTGACCTTTTGATTTCGCCGGCAGTAAACTAGCATTTGCCGATAAAGGATTATTTCACAGTGAAAAGCTGCTTCTATATCTGATTTAAACGGTTGTTAGACTATTTTCAAGGCAGAAATTATAATTTTTACAGAAAAATTTGACGAACTAATACTGCCATTTTAAAAGCAGGTAAAACAAATTCCTAACACCATTGGTTGTTTTTGTGTAAGCTTCGCTCTTGCCTAATTAAAATTCGTGACCAAAATGGCGTTTATCAAACTTAATACATAATATACTAATGTTGTAATGTCATTAAAGAAAGATTTTCTTTAATTGTATATTTTAACGTACGAAGAACAATTATTTTCAGTTTGAAAACAAATGTAAGGGTGCATTAATGACGACTTATTGATCCAAAGTTACTTCTTCCGTAACTGCGTAAAGTGGATATCGGTCTTACTACAGAGCTTGCCTCTGTATAATATATTAAAGTAAACATTTTTAGGCAAAACCAAAATAATATTTTTTGTAAATTTACCTATAGTGCATTGGCAAAGGTTCATATGAAAAACCCTTTATGAACGTTTTAAAAACGTCGTGACGTCACGATACTATTGGACCATCGAAAAAAATCGTAACTTGAAAAGTTTTTTCATTGATCCGGCCAAATTACCTTTTATATCCCGAAGCAACTTTTGACAAAATTTGGTCTAAAAATCTCCACCAGTAAGTAATTTTTAACGAAAAATTCATAGCAGAAATCGTTTTGTCCCACATTCAGTTGGAATTGAGACATTATACGTTTGAAATAATGAACAAAGTGAGCTGCACCAAGGTGTTACACTAGTTAAACAATGAAAATATTGTTTCACTATTGGAACAAACTAAGAAGAAGCGTTGTTGTCCGAACGACAAAATAATATGTGCAACTCGGGAAGAATGGTCGATTCTAAACTCGCATGGATCGTGCTTCAAACGGATGCTTGTTAAGAATCGACCATTACCCTCACTCGTTGCACAATATACTACTTTTCAACGGTAGGTATGGTTCTTTTTAGAGACTTTTTAGTCTCTATAATAGAAGTAGTTTTACACTGATCATGTCCCAGCCTTAGTACGTATCTCATGAAACCAAATAAATCCTTAATCTTTTTTTTTGTCTTATAAAACTGTTATTCGTAAAAAACAAATATTATATTATATTAATATATAATTATCTCAAATCTAGTTAATAAATCAGTGAATTAATTATTTAAGCAACACATTTAAAAGGGATATTATACAGTGGCGTAACAAGATAACGTGGGGCCCTGGTTTCAAACCTTAGATCCGGGCCCCCTCTCATCTCTACAATATACGAGGTGTGTTCAGAAAATAACGGAAATTGTTAAATTACGCGGGTTCGGAGGGTCCGGTTGTCATAAAATTTTCTTTATTATGTTGGTATACATGCCCCCGAAGTATGATAAAAACTTTAGCTGTTTTCATTGTTTACTTTGTCTGCGGCAGCCGCTAAGGTTAGACGTGTTTTATGAGCTCGGCGATTTTTCGTTCGTTAAAAGAAATGGATCATAGAATTTGTATCCAATTTTGCTTCAAAAATTAAATAAATTCTGTGAAATGTTAAGGCCTATAGTGAGTCTGCTATAAGTAAAACAAGAGTTTACAAGTGGCATAAGAGTTTCCAAGATGGCCGTGAAGACGTTGAAGATGACGAACGCCCCGAACACAAGCACATTAACAACCAATAAAAACATGGAAAAAGTGGAAGAAATGGTTATAAACCATCAGAGAAGTCGCTAATGATGTTGGTATATCGATTGGCTCATCCCATGGAATTTTTTCGAATGTTTTGGGTATGAAACGCGTGACAGAAAAATTTGTTCTAAAATTGTTAAATTTTGAACAAAATTTTTGGCCAAAAACAATACTGTAATGATGCCCCAGCCTCCATATTCGCCAGAAATTTCCCAAAAATAAAGAAAACCTTAAAGGGCCGTCGTTTTGCAAGCATAGATGACATTAAAAGCGCATCGCTGAAAGAACTAAAGGCTATCCCAAGATCGAGTTTTAGAAGTGTTTCGAGTATTGGAAGAAGAGCTGCCACATGTGCATAATATCCAATGGGGACTATTTTGAAGGCGACAACATTAATGTAGACGAATAAATAAATATTTGTTTCAAAAAAAGAAAATTCTCGATATTTTCTGAACACACCTCGTACATACTTATATAAAAAAAAGGTAGGATTTATCAGAAATCGCGACAGGAATAACTTCCTGGAGGTATAGACCTTCATATTTTTGGAAAGTTTAACTTTTATTAAATATATACAGTGTGACCCATTTGTTTGCGACTCACCCCTATAAAATC